AAAAATGGAAAACAAAGGAAGTGGAAAGGATCATAGTTGTGGGATAAAGAAATAAAAAGAAGGGAAGAGAAGATTGAAGGGAGAGAAGATTAAAAGGGTAAAATAGGATTGGAACGAAGAAAGGGAGAGGTGGGAAAGGAAGGAGGAGAGAAAAAGGAAGATGAAGAAGTGGCACAGAAATTGATGGCCAAGTCCTTAAAAACAGATGTAGCAAAATCTAAAATTGACAGGTGGGACCTTACCAAGCTAAAAAGTTTCTGTACAGCAAAAGAAACCATCAAGAAAGTAAAGAGACAACCAACAGAATGAGAAAAAATATTTTACCCGACAAAGACATAACATCAGGACCTACAAAACACTCAAATGAATTGACAGGGGAAAAAACATAAAACATTAAAAAATGGGCAAAGCCAGATGCAATGGCTCAAGTCTGTAATCTCAGCACTCTGGGAGGTCGAGATGAGAAGACTGCCTAAACCCGTGGGTTCAAGACCAGCCTGGGTAACATGGTGAGACCTTGTCTCTACAAAAAAAAAAAAAAAAAAAAGAGCCAGGCTTGGTAGCGTACCTGTAGTTCTGGCTACTTGGAAGGCTGAGGCAGGAAGGCTCACCAGAGCCCAGCAGGTGGACGCTGGGGTGGTTGTGAGCGTGCCACTGCATTCTAGCCTGGGTGACAGAGTGAGACTCCAACTCAAAAAAAAAAAAGTTGGGCACAGGACATGAACAGACACGTCTCAAAGGAAGACATTCAAGCAGCCAATAAATGTATTTAAAAAATGCTCATTCTCACTAACCATCAGAGATATGCAAATCAAAACTACAATGAGTCCAAGTAAGGCCATTGATGTTCACATGGCTCTAGCACGTCCAAGAGCTAGAGCTTAATGACCAAAACTTTGGAAATAAGTATTATTCCTTCTCTTGGTAACTTATTAAAATGGGAACAAACAAATACAAAAAAACCCAACAAAGAAAAAACTCCCCAAAACCCAACAAATAACACAATGTTCCTACAACTCAACAATCAGCTTTTTTGGGGAGGGCCTATGGCTGGTTGCTGCTATTTTGGTTGTCCCATAGTGCTCAGTTCAGTGAAGTACACCCAGCAGACATTTAGTAAATGGTTGAACAGCTGGGAAATCTTAACACAAAGTATTGTTTTGGTTGGGGTGGTGGGCGGGGGGGGGCACGGGAGGGCAGAAGAATGTTCAAAAGGTCCTCTGGTGAGAAATCAGTCTCTGCTTTGTGAAGAAAAGGCTGAAGACACAATAAGACTCCTAGAGTTAAGTCTTACATTATTTGTTATTAAAGAGACAAGGTCTTAAGATGTGCTTTTAACAGTCTTTAGTTTGGCTGTAATTTAAGATGACTTTTACAAATTAGATCCTAATCCTTGCAGACACAGATGGCTGTTACAGAATAGCCTTGCAAAAACACTAGTCATTCGACTTGAAAGAGAATTCAGAGAAGGATGAAGGGCTATTAACTCTTATCCCACCCCGGCTCTAGGAGGCCTGAAGTGTCCCGGGTGAGCTTTCTGGGTTTAAGTCTGGAATCTGGGTGGGCCCAGGGCATCTGTTCTCATTTGGAACAGTCTCTCTGTTCACTCTGGAACCAGGGGAGCCTGAGGTCACTAATACAGCAACAGTTACTAATACTGTGCTGGGAACTGCAGGGAGATAGATATGAACATGATATGGACTGTCTTTGTAAATCACTATAGAACAACTGGACAAGTACTATGAGAAAGGAATGTACAAGCTGCAATGGTATATAGGTGGGGAGATTGGGAGAAGAGGGCGGGCTTCACAATGGGGATGACGTTTGAGCTAGGCATTAAAAGATGAAACTGGAAAAAGAAGGCCTAAAAAATTAGGGAAGGTTGATATTCAAGGAAGAGAGATCAGAGTATACAAAAGCCCAGAGTCATGAGAGTCTCTTGTGCCTTTAGTGAATAGTGATAGTGAGAAATTGTCTATCTCTGGGTCATAGAAATAAATAATAAGAGGCAACATATAAGGCGGGAAAGGTAGGAATGGACCAGATTGTAAAGAGTTTTTGAAGACATTCTAAGGAGCCTATATTTATCCTCAGGTAGTAAAGAGCTACTAAAGAGTTTTTAAGCACAAGGGAATGATCACAGTAAAATTTTGGAAAAATCACTTTGTGGCAGATAATTTCAGCTAGACTGGAATCATAAAATTGATCTGTGATGGATATTGGAAAGCTTTTGATTTCTCCTATAGGATAAAATCTCTCTGGTTAGACTTTTTCTCTGGGGAACTACGCAAACCTTGGTCTAAATTGGTTTTAGGATGGAGACAGAGGTGGAAATAGGGTCAGGTGAGAAAGGGACACTGGGAGAAGAGAAGATTGAACAGTTTTCTTTATTAGTGTAAAACAAAAGGTGAGTGATGGAGAGCTAAATCAGGAGTACGTTTTCTCTAAGACTGACTTGCCATTGAGGGCTAATCCATGCTGATACAACATGATTTGTATTGAAAGGGCTGAAAACTTGGCCAGTAGGGCTTAATGTAGGCAGGTAGCAGGTCCAAGGACTTTCTACATTTCATGTCGCTGTCTGCTGCTTCTTTAAACAGCAACTTTCCACAGTCCACATTTTTAACCTGTGGGAAAAGGTTCTTAATACTGATCAAAAGCCTAACTCCTTTTGAGATATCTTTACCCCTACGCCTGCCAGTAATCAGGCTTAAAAATTAATTTGAAAGAAAATGAAGTTTAATTTTAAAAGCCGGGAAGGTCCTTAGACTCTATTTCTTCCAATACTTTCATCTTACAGATGAAGCCCAGAAGGAGAATGACTTAAAACCAAGGGTTGGGAAGGACAAATTTAGTACTTACATTTTTTAAGTTCTCCAAGGTGATGTTTCTTACAGAACATAAAATATGAGAACCAGCTGATCATGAATCCTTTGGTTCTTTTCTAAATGTTCAACTTCAGTGACAGAATTTTAGGTTGATTCCTTACCTGGTTGTGTGGCAAGAGCATGTGCACGCATGTGTTCCCTTGTGCATGTTTGTGTGCCTTATATACAAATAAAGGTGAAGTGCATCGAGCAGTAGAAGGACCAACAGCCAATGCTAGGGGTTCACTTTGTCTCCTGGGCTTAGACATAAGTGGCAGGATCCTCATCCCATTCAGAGGGAATTTGTGGCTGGGTAGTGAAGTTAAACATATATTACTGGTTTCTCTCTCTATCCTGAAAATCCGACAGCCAATGTGAGGGACTTACATGAGCCTTAACCATATTCTTTGTTTTGGTATGCTAGGTTACTAGATCTAGATCATAATGGAATCACAGAACATGAAGGTTTTCTATGTACTTTAGAGTTAGAAAACACGAAGGTTTTCTATGTACTTTAGAGTCAAGCTAGTCCAAGTCCCATATAAAGCAAGAACACCAGAGATTAATCCTTCTCCATATATATTTGTTACTGCTGAAAAGAGTAGTGATTGGTAACCTACAATGATAGGAAATGAACACTTCACAACACAAGATATTCCTTCCTTAGAAAATAGCCGGGCTTGGTGGCTCAGCCTGTAATCCCACACCTTGGGAGGCTGAGGTGAGTGGACTGCCTGAGCCCGAGGGTTCGAGACCCGCCTGGGCAACTTGGCGAGACCTCATCTTTACAATAAATAAGAAATTAGCTGGGTGTGGTAGCGCGTGCCTGTAGTTCCAGCTACTCGGAAGGCTGAGGCAGAAGGATCGCCGGAGCCCAGCAGGTCGAGGCTGCGGTGGCCGGGAGCGGCCACTGCACTCCAGTCTGGGCGACAGAGTGAGACTCCAACGGGAAGGAAAAAAAAAAGAAAATGCTTTCTCACGTTAGGCCAAGTTTAGCTCTTATAAATTTCAACTCATTGGTCCCAATTCTGCCTCTGAAGCCTCAACAAATCAGATCCCTCTTTTACAAGGCAAGCCTTCAAGAAGTTGAAGATAACAATCCAGTCTCTCACAGTCTTTCCTTCTGTGGAGGTAATGCTCCTTAGACGACATAATTTCCACTTCCCTCACCTGCCCTAGTCATGCTCCTGTTTCTTCAGGCTTCCTGTTTTGAGCATGAAGCCTAGAAACACTCAGGGGTAGTTTATCTTAGTGCAGAGATGAATAGGGCCGTTGTCCTTTTGTTGGGACTATGCCTCTAAAATGCAGCTAGCTTTTTTACTGGCAGTCACAACACATTATTAATGTGTATTCAGCTTACTTCACCCATAATCTAAAGGAATCTATTTCTATATATTTCTGTAAAACTTTGGCAGCTTAATTTTTATAGTTCAGTATTTAAATTTTCTTGAATCTTATTTTTCATACTCCATAAATCTGATAAAGTCTTCATTTAGATTGTCAATAAATATGGTAAGTAATAAAGGATTAAGTACAGAGCCCCTTGGTTCTGTAGTCAACATTTTCTGGACACAATCATTTACTCAGCAATGAATCTATCTAACTATAGATCTACATTTCTCTATTTTGCCCCAGAAACTATGAGAACTATCAATACTGTGCTGAAAAACGAGCACACAGTGAATATAGATCACTCTCCCTGACTTCCCAGGCTAGTAAGACTATCAAATCACAAAATTCTCTTTGTTTACCATGACTCATTCTTAGTGAATCTGTAATTGTTGACCCTGATATCTAACTGTTAAGCTGTTAAATACACACTTCTCAAGTATACACTAAAGTATACAGAGACGAAACTTCAGGAGAGCCTGTGGGAATGCTGGAACAGGGGAAACAGCTAGGAAGGAAGACCCAGTATCTAATGTCTTACATAAGCTACTGGGCACATGTTGGCCTGGAAAGCCACACCTTCTCCAAAAGCTGAGGAAAGAATGAGTGTAGAACAAAGAAGGACTCCAGTGGTACCTTGTACTAGCTTGTACCAAGTGACTTTCCTTGGACTACTTTGTTCAGCTCTAATGATGACATATCTCCCATCTAGACATACTTCCTTAGGTAGATATGGGAACTTACATCTCTCCTAGGAAAGGTGCTCAGTAACTTGTACTCATCCCATGGAAATCCTTTGGAAGCTACAAAATCAAAGACAATCTGGAGCTTATTGCTGGCCAGGAAACGCCGCTCCAGGAATTCGCCACTGGGGGTCCGGATCCGCAGTTTGCTCACGGGCTCAGTATTTTCTTCCTTTGGCTCAGGAGGCAGGGCTTGCTCTAAGGAGAGTCTGATGGCCTAAGAGGGGCAAAAAGCAGATATAAAAATGTGGGATGGATGGGACTCTGGAGAGTAGAGGGAGAGACTAGTAAAAACCTGCTGCTTTCTACAAATGAACTGAAAAGTCACTTCCCCCATTTATTAACCAAGCCTAATGCTTGAACAATAGAACCTTGTATTTTTCAATTTCTTAATATTAGCCCAATAGATAGTTAATTAAAATAAATTCCACCTTGATGACACATATTATTAAACTGATTGGTAACTACATTGAAAAGGCATTTTTAAAAAATGAAGGGCTCAGATATTTGTGGTCGAGGAAATTGGTATTAAATAGTCAATTGCTTCCTTTCTAGAATATGAATTAAAGCTATAATATACATCCACAAAAGACAAACACACATAAACAATATATATATACTTCAGAAATAAATTTTCTCAAGAAGAAGTAACTGAAGAATTTGTAAAATACTGGATAATATGTTTATGTCAAAACAGAATAAAAATATCCTATTTGGGGTGATGACAATATTGTGAATATAATTTATGTAACTGAATTGTATACTTAAAGATGGTAGATTTCTGCATAGGTATTTTGCCATGATAAAAGTTTTCAAAAATTGAATAGAAAGAAATTCAAATATCAGGTTTATTAGAGGTAGAAGACCACAGGCCTAATTCTAGCTTTGCCACTAACTTGCTGTGGGATTTGGCTAAGTTTCAGAATGATCAATTTCTGAACCTACAGATGGATGGACTTCATGTTACAGAAGAAAGCACAGACTCAAACAGATGGGGTAGCCTGCTGGGAGATCTCATGGCTAGAGTGGGCTTGAATCTAGGTTTCAATATAACATTGTTTCACATTTATAACATTGGAAGGAGGTTAGAGGGTCTCTGAGGTCCCTGACCACTCTGGAATTTATGGCAAAAATTCACTGAAATATTTTTTGGTCCTAGGATCCTGAGAAACACTTCAAGTTAGAATCTATGGGATTCAACTAAAGCAGTCTCAGAGGAAATTTATAGCCTTAAAATTCTTCTATCATTAAAAGTGAAAGAATAAAAATAAGTGAATTAAGAATTAAACTAAAAAAGCTAGGGAAAGCACCCCATCAAACAAGTAGAAAGAAAGCTGAGAATCAAATAATCATTAAAGCTAAAAGCATAAAGGAATAAGTTAGAAAAAGAAAAGCACAATTAGTCAACCAGTAAATTCTTTGGAGGAACTTGGCACATTTAATAAAGACTCCAGCCTGGGCAACAAAGAGCGAGACTCTAACTCAAAAAAAAAAAAAAAAAAAAAAAAGCATAAAAAGAAACAAATAAAAATGGTAATCTGTAGAAGGTGGGGAAACAGGGTGGTATAGGTATTAGTGAGTGTTTTCTGAATATGCCATTTTATGTCTTTATGTTTTTTACTTATATAAAAGCATTATCTGTCCAAAAAATTCAAAATAACCAACAGAAAAACAAAGTCTGCTCAGACATGAATACAAAAATGAAATTAGTTAATTTCTGTGTTATTCAAGAGAATCTGGTTGCCTCTAATACTGAAGAATTTTCAAAAAATCATTAAAAATGTCAGTGTATAGCAAAAGCTACTTTCTCCTACGACTCTTGAGATTACTTTCCTTCTGGAGGTACTGGATAAACCACCTACTTCAATATGTGTAACATTCTCAGTGTGGTATCTGACACATAATAGACTTCAGTTATGGCTGTTTTTGTTATAATGAAGAGAAGATCTACACAAAATATCAGATCTGAAAGGGGTTGCATTGGTCAAATAGTCCTATATGCTCATTTTTTTTTTTTTTTGAGTTGGAGTCTTACTCTGTCACCCAGACTGGAGTGCAGTGGCCACTCCCAGCCACCGCAGTCTCGACCTGCTGGGCTCCGGTGATCCCTCCGCCTCAGCCTTCCGAGTAGCTGGAACTACTGGCTAATTTTTGATTTATTGTAGAGATGATGTCTCGCCAAGTTGCCCAGGCGGGTCTCGAACCCGCGGGCTCAGGCAATCCACTCACCTCAGCCTCCCAAAGGCTCAGGATTACAGGCTGAGCCACTGAGCCTGGCTTTATGCTCATTTTTTATATGGAAAACTGATACCCAGAAATGAAGACATAAAAAATATAGTTCAAAAATCAGAAAAGTAGAAAGTCAAACCAGACTTTTTTTCTGATAGCAAGAGTAGAAGCTCTTCTAATGCTGGTGTTTTGAGTTAGCAATGAGTTTCAGCTGAGTATTTCCCAAATATTAAGCTATTTTAGTAATGCTATCATATGCTAACAACTCAATGAATGGAAGTCTGTTATGTGTCAGATACCACACTGAGAATGTATATCAAAATTAAATGCCAGTCAGAGTATGCCATGGTAGCATTCACTATACTGTCCATAGTTACTTGTTTAAGGTGTGACTTTCTTACTAACCTGTAAGTTCCATAGGGCATGGGAGCATGTCTTACATCTTATTACAAGTATAGTACAGAGCACGTAGTAGATGTTTAACATGCATTTGGTAGGGAAAGGAATAGACTAAGACACTAACTAAAATAATGCACATGAAAGTGCTGAGCAGGGTTATGGGCACGTAGCAGGTGTTCAATAAATGCTAAAAGAATCTGAATCTCATGCCCTTTATGACTAGTAAACAGGAACTGAACATCTTGACTCTCCTTTCTCTGATGTCTGACTCCTTCTAGCATCTACTGTTCAGGTTAACTTTCCACATATGTATCTCTTAAGGGCAAACTATGAGTTGCTTGTGGACTTAAACCTCTGTGGATTAGAGTTATATAAATTCTCTAAACTATTAATGGGATCACCTCTTTCTCAGCAACACTGGTGTTTTTTAAAAACCATATATTTGAAATTTAAACAATTAATATAAATTCATTGTAAAAATAAATTAATTGAAAAGAAAAACATTAAAATTAATCTGTAGATTCACCATCAAGATAGTCATTGGCATCACTTGAATGTTTATATCTACTAATTTTTAAAACTCTTTAAACCATTTTTAGGTGTACAATTCAGTGGCATTAAGTACAATTCCAGTGTTGATAACCATCACCATTTCCAAAACCTTTTCATCATCCCCAATACTCTCCATTAATTTTTAATGCATATTTTATGTAAATATATATTTTAAACTTTTAACAAAATTGGAATTAGTGTTATATTTTTAAAAACTTTTTTTAAAGTCATGCATTTGCAATTGTTTTAAAGTTTTTATTAAAGGATAACATACACATGAAAAAGTGCACAAGTCCTAGGTATATGATTTAATAAATTTTCAGAAAGTGATCATACCTGTAAAATTAGAACTCTGACCAAGGATCTCAGAAGCATGCCCCTTCCTGTGAACTATCTCCCCTTAAAGCCAATCACTAACCTGACTTCTAACAGCACAGTTTAAAAAACTTTAATTAAATGCAATAGGTTTAAATGACATAGGGTCAAATCCTGTCACTTAGGCAAATGACAGTCTTTATGAAATTTTTTTACTTATATAAGAAATAGAGCTAATAAAATCTTTCTCACAAGGTCCTTGTATAATATGCAGAATGTTTTTTATTTTTTTTATTATTTTTATTTTTTTTTGTTGGAGTCTCACTGTCGCCCAGAGTGGAGTGCAGTGGCCACTCCCAGCCACCGCAGCCTCGACCTGCTGGGCTCTGGCGATCCTTCCGCCTCAGCCTTCCAAGTAGCCGGAATTACAGGCATGCGCTACCATGCCCAAGATTTTTTGATTTATTGTAGAGATGAGGTCTCGCCAAGTTGCCCAGGTGGGTCTTGAACCCGCAGGCTCAGACAGCCTCAGCGTCTCAAAGCGCGGGATTACAGGCTGAGCCACCGAGCCCGTCTGTAGAATGTTTTTTAAACACTTAGCAAATGCTGACACTTAGTCAGCATTCAATTAATGACAAGAGTCTAGAATTGATCCTCATGCCATGTATAACACTGTTCAACAGATGACAGTTAGTGTTATCATTAAGATTATTTCTTTGCACCTCCTTTAAATCAGAACTTAACATGATATTTCCTGGTTTGCCCTCTTTCAATTTTGCTTGCTTTCAATTTTGAGATTTTCCTGCACAGTGTAACAACAGATGCTAAATTACTGTCTGGAGTCAACCAATTATACTACAAAAGAATAAACAACAGTAGCTCATTACTCCATTCATTGTGCAGACAATGTCTGCCTATCAATGTACGCAGTCTCCAGGGTTTTTCTCTAGAATGAAAACAGATCTTGGATATCCCACACCAGTGGACCAATGTGGAAAACAATGAAGAGATATGAGGTAAGTCAGCAACTTTGGGATCTGAATACCCAACAGTTTTACTAGCAAAAAGAACAAAAGTACATCAGTAGTTCAGTTTCAAATATACTGGCTAAAGCAAAGGCCTTATGTAAACAAGCATTGTTGTAAAACAACGACATAAAGGACACCTACAGTCAAACAGCAGTCATAGTAAACACCATTGTTAAACTTCAATTTGGTTTGCTCAACAAATATAATTTTTTATTTGCATGAATTTAGGGTTGTGATGAAACAAGGAAACCGGATATAAATTAGAAATATGAACTAATCTTGGGCTTTTTATTTATTTTATTTTATTTTGAGTTGGAGTCTCACTCAGTCGCCCAGACTGGAGTGCAGTGGCTGCTCCCGGCCACTGCAGCCTCGACCTGCTGGGCTCCAGCGATCCTTCTGCCTCAGCTTTCCAAGCAGCTGGAACTACAGGCACGCTACCACGCTCGACTAATTTTTTATTTATTGTAGAGATGAGGTCTCGCCAAGTTGCCCAGGCAGGTCTCGAACCCGTGGGCTCAGGCAATTCACTCACCTCGGCCTCCCAAAGCATGGGATTACAGGCTGAGCCATCGGGCCCGGCCTGGACTTTTTCTAAACCATAATATCTGAATATTTAAAGCATTCATATCTGAAGGATAAGAAATGATATTTTTCAAAGTGATATTAGGAAGTGAAAATACACACACAAGACTGTTTC